GGCCCCCGAGAGCTCGGGCGGGTCCCAGACTGTCTCCCGCGCCTGGCTGAAGCTGGGGAAGGAGTAGAGCGGGCGTCGGTTTTGCGGTTCCAGAGGATAGCATCGAAGATGCTGGATAGGTACCTACCATGTAACCAGTTGTAAAAGTGTGAAGTCCGCTCTCAGCTCGCGGGCCTGCCGCATCAGCCGGGCCACATTCGGCCTGTTGGCTTCAGTTCGCACCCCCTGGCCTGCACCCTGGGCGGGCTTTGCCACTGCAGGGGTTTTGAGAGGAAGCTGCTGCAGGATGGAAGTTGGGGGCCAGACCAGCCGCCTCCTGCCTTTTGTTTAGATATTGAGGTGGCGCACACCTGACTCAGGATCCACCTGCGTCCGAGGCAGGTGGAAATAAACGACTGTCACGGGGTGGAGAAGAGGGACAGACAGCCCAAGCTGCTGTCTGGGTCAAGCTTGCCAGTTAAAAAAAAAGAAAAAAAAAGTCCGGCCAGTGTGGTTCAGCGGTTGAGCATCGACCTCTCTGTGACCCAGGAGAACCCGGCTCCATTCCTACTGTCCGGCCAGTGTGGTTCAGCGGTTGAGCATCGACCTGTCTGTGATCCAGGAGGACCCGGCTCCATTCCTACTGCGGGCTCGCTCCCCAGCAGGGGGCGTGCAGGAGGCAGCCCATCAATGACTCTCATCCTTGATGTTTCTCTCTCTCTCTCCTCCCTCTCCCTTTTTTATTATTTTAAAAAATCAATATTTTTTAAAATAATAAAAATAATAAAAATAAATTCCAAGGGATTTCCTCCTCCCAATTTATTGTGTATCCCCTGTAACAACATTAAAGGAAACATAAAAGGAAAACCTCTCATTTTTCATAATCCTTTTCAACATCCTGTCCACACACCTGTTCTTCAGAGTCGTATACATAATTTTTAATTTATTTCTAAGTGAATTGGATCTAGAAAAGCCTAAGCTGCTAAAGAGTATAGTCCTCATGTATACTGGTCTTATAACATATTTTTCCCCAGAAGCCACAAGTGGAATTCTAAGGTCTTATAACATTTTTTAAATTATAAAAGTAACACATACAAATTTCACGTAATACTGGACTATAAAGTGAAAGTTTCCTCCTCAAGATGTTATTGCTTGTAGCAGAGCAGATCTTTATGTAATACAAATATTTTCTCTTTTTTTTTTTTTTTTAATGTTTTTTAAAGCCACTCAGGTTTTTTTTATTGGTTTTAGAGAGAAAAGAAGGGGGAGGGGAAGAGAGAGAAACATCGATGAGAGAAAAACATTGGTTGGTTGCCTCCTGTACTCACTTATTGGTGATCGAGTCCTCAACCTGGGCATGTGCTCCAACTGAGATTTGAACTGGTGACCTCTTGGTGCATGAGACAACATTCAGCCACACCAGCCAGGGCTTTTTGTTTTTATTTTTATTTTTTAATCCTCACCTGAGAATATTTTTTCCATTGCTTTTCAGAGAGAGTGGAAGGGGGGGGGGAGAGAGAGAGAGACATCAATGTGAGAGAGACACATTGGTTGTCTTCCACAGCACCCCGACCAGGGCCAAGGATGAGCCTGCAAACGAGATATGTGCCCTTGGCTGGAATTGAACCCGGGACCCTTCAGTTCAAAGGCTGACACTTTAAGCACTAAGCCAAATGGGCCAGGGCCAACCAGGGCTTTTTATAACATTGATTTGGGAGAGAGTGTGGAAGGTAGAGAGAGAGAGAGAAACATCAATTTGTTGTTCCACTTACTTTTGCATTCATTGGTTGATTCTTGTATGTGCCCTGACAAGGGATCGAACCCACAACCTTGGCGTACCGGAACAAAGCTCTCACCAACTGAGCTACCTGGCCAGGGTATTTTCTTTTTTCACTTTGTTTCTTATGGACAATGTTCCTGGTTGGTAAATCATAGCCTCTTTAGTTATGTTAAAGGATTCATAACTTTCCATAGGAGGATTCTCCTTAACCAACAGTAGCCATCACTCTTTGTTGAAACAATTTGTCTCCAGTTTTTGCTATGGACACTCTTGTTTATTTGTGTAGCCCCACATTGTGTATTTCTATAGGGTCCTTACCTGGAGGTAGGTCAAAGAAGCAGTACTGTACAACTTAACCATTCTTTTATTATTGCATCTCTGGAATAAATTTAGAATAGTTGTTATCTAGAATACACTTATCACACTTCAGTGAATACTTTGTGCTTTTTTTGCTTCCTGCATCCTCAGCACTTAGCCATTTACAAATAATGAGGGCCAACTATCTCATTATTAAAGGCATGTTTACACAGTAACTGTATACAGATGGTGTGCTGTGGAATTGTGCACCTGAAACCTGTATAATTTTGTTAACTAATGTCACTCCAGTATGTTCAATAAAAAGGAAGGGGAAAAAAGGGGTGCTTTACATGCATTCTCAATCTTTGAAATCATTCCAAGAGATGGTATCACCTTTTCACAGGTGAGAAATCTGAGGTTCTAAATAGTTAGAAGCTACATGTAGGGGGTTGAGTTAGAGTTTGGGCTCAAGTTCCCAACTCCAAAGCTGATGTGCTTCACCCCACGGTGGAGAGGTAACATAGCACAGAGGTCTAGTGAACACACTGCATTCACCAAATTCACTAGGGTCTGAATCCTAGCTCTGCTATGTACCAGCTTTGTGACCTTAGGTAAATTATCTCATCTTTCTGTGTCTGCTTCCTGTGACTAATAATGGTCTGGATTGTTGTGACGATTAAATATGCATTAATTATCTAAAAGTCTCTAGTGCATACAGCATCAATGTCAGTAATGTACTGTTACTCTGTCTCCTAATAACAGCCTAGGTAGGGGGCTAAGTAATCAACAAGGACTACACAGCAGGGGTATACATGCTTAATGGGGTCATTATTGGAGCTGGGAGCTGGGAGGTGGAGTGGGGGTGGACAAAGCAGGCTTCCCTTAGAAAGCAAACCCAGGGAGCATTTGAAATTTTGCTTCATGTCATCAGTTTGGCTCAAATAAACTCATAAAAATTCAAATAAATAAATAAATAAATAAATAAATAAATAAATAAATAAAAGCAAACCCAGAGTCCACTCAAAAACTGGGAGTTTACCAAGCCCACAGAGGAGGCAGGACATCCCAGGGAGAAGGACCGGTAGGTGCAAAGGCCCAGAGGAGGGAGAGGGCCTGTTTTGCAATAAGCACAAGTTACCCTCAATCGATGGGAGATAAAACTGCGCCCTAACTGCCCTAACTATTAACATTTACACAATACAGTCTTGCCAGGCACCTGAGATAGGGCTACTCTCATCCTCACTTTACAGATGGGGCTGTAACAGGAAAGAGGGGAAAGAGGGGCGGGCAGGAGGAAGCCAAACTACCAGCGTTTAAATTTCCTCCTAAGTCAGCAATCTTCAACCTTTTTCATCTCATGGCACACATAAACTAATTACTAAAATTCTGCAGCACACCAAAAAATATATATATTTGCTGATCTGACCCCCCCCAAAAAAGTATAATTTGGATTCATTCCCACCGGACAGCTATTGTTGTGTTGGCTGTTGTATTTTTATTTAACCACCTAAGGGAAACGAGGTCAGTGACCCGGACTAAACAGATATTGCGTGTTTTAAAAGTTCTTGCGTGGCGGCGATGTGCCGTGGAAACCGCTGTCCTAAGGGACGGGCATGTCCTGGAGTTTTCAGCGGGGAGGTGATGACAGGATAAGATGCTGTGTTTTGCAAAGATCCCTTCGGCAGTGGGCGGAGGACGGCTCAATTCCCCCGACAGGCACAGCCGGTCAAAGAGCAGGCACATTTCCCGAGCTCCCCACAAATAGTGCCAAGTGACTTCCCATCTGATTGCGCCACATCGGGAATCGGGTTCCCGCCCGGGTTTCAGGCCCGCGCCTCCTTCCCCACCGCCGCCAGGAGCCGGGCTTTAGGGGTCTTTTCTCTACCGGCCACTCTCGCGAGATGCCGGCCCCGCCCCGCGCGGGGCCCCGCGCAAGGGCCCGGCTTGCGCTTTCTGACTCTCGGCGGCACCCGTCCGCGTCCGCGGCCACGTGACCCAAACAGATCCGGGCACTTCCACTTCCCCTCTGCTTTCTTCTCGTCAGTGTCCGCGGCGGATCCAGAGTCGGGTGAGTGAGCTAACGCCGTGCCGGAACCGTCGGGGCCGGGATTGCCCGCAGGCCCGGGGCGCCCCGCACTGACCCCCTTCGCCGCCCTTCTCGTCCCGCCAGGTCCCCGCGGAGGCGGCGTTGGCGGCGTCATGGCGGAGCTGACGGCTCTGGAGAGTCTCATCGAGATGGGCTTCCCCAGGGGACGCGCGTAAGGGAGCCCCTCTAACCCCGGCCCGCGGGGGTCGCGGGCCTGTTCGGGCCTTTCCCCCAGCTTGGCCTCAGGCTCTACGCCCCAGCCTGACCGTCACCATGGCTCGTGGGCGCTATTCACGGTGTTTCTGCCCCCAGGGAGAAGGCTCTGGCCCTCACAGGGAACCAGGGCATCGAGGCCGCGATGGACTGGTGAGCGCTCACACCGGGTGGCAGGGGACTGGGGACTGAGAGGGGCAGCCTCAGTGTTGACCTCCCTCCCGACTTTCTCTGCCAGGTTGATGGAGCACGAAGACGACCCCGATGTGGACGAGCCGCTAGCGACCCCCCTTGGACATGTCCTGGGACGGGAACCCACCTCCTCGGAGCAGGGTGGCCCCGAAGGTCCTGACCAAGGGACACGGTGTGATTATCAAGGAGGGCTCGAGGAGAATGAACTGGCAATAATACTGTTCGCTCGTTTGTAGGTCCTGAGTCCGCTGTGGAAGAAGACAAACCCGTTTTGAGTGAAGAGGAAAGACAGGAACAGACAAAGAGGTATATAGTAAGGAACAGTCTGCATATTTGAGGGTCATCTTATACCTCTCCTCAGTACACAGTCTGCTCAAAGAACCTCGAACTTTACACATCTCCGCTGTCCTTTCTTGGCATTTCCCTTTTTGTTTTTCATCTGTGTTGGTACACATGTTCCCCGATTTTGTTTTCTGAGTCTCTTGTTATAAACACCTTCACAATCTATGTTCGTTGCAATACAGGATGTTGGAGCTGGTGGCCCAGAAACAGCGGGAACGTGAAGAAAGAGAAGAACGGGAGGCATTGGAACGGGAACGGCAGCGCAGGAGACAAGGGCAGGAGCTCTCAGCTGCTAGACAGCGGCTACAGGAAGATGAGATGCGCAGGGCCGCTGAGGAGCGCAGGAGAGAAAAGGCTGAAGAGTTAGCGGCCAGGTCTGGGTGCTGGGGATGTTGGGTAAGAGATGAGAAAGGAATCAATATTTGCTTTGTCAAGGTCTGACCTTTCTTCCTGTGTGCACTCCAGGCAAAGAGTCCGAGAAAAGATTGAAAGAGACAAAGCAGAGAGAGCCAAGAAGGTAGGTGATTGGGAAGACACTAAGTAATTAAGTAGGTGGGGCTAATAAATCACATTTTTCTGCTTCAGAGGGCAAGTTGGGCTTACACATTATTTCTCCTGGGGGAGTGAGTGCCTGATGTAGTGTTTTACTTTGTTCTCCAGTATGGTGGTAGTGTGAGTTCTCAGCCATCCCCACCAACAGAACCAGGTCCTGTTCCCTCCTCTCCCAGCCAGGAGCCTCCTAGCAAGCGGGAGTATGACCAGTGTCGCATACAGGTACTGATTCTGATTCCTTTGCCCCTGGGACCCCTGCGTTGGTCTATAAAGCCCCTAGCCCAGAGCTTTTTTCAGTTATGTTTCCTTTGCCAAACCTCTCCCTTCTTGGTAAATGACTTTTGAAATCTTACCTCCTCTACTCTTAGGAAAGATATCCAATTTCACTTGCCCCAGTCTTATTTAAATCCATACCTTCCTCTTACTCAGCAGTTCTCTCTTTACTTGTTCATGTTTTCATTGGGTTTATTACACAGCTGTTTGCAAAGCTAACATTTATTCATTATGATGTGGTATTTATCCAGGTAGTTTTGTGTAATCTTGTCTTTGTTTTTCTTTTGTTAGAGAGCAGGGAATCTCTCTTCAGTGCTTAGTAAAGCAGAGCCTAAGTGGTTGTTCATTAGGTGCTTTTAATAGTAATTATGCTGGTTTAATCTGAGGAGGAGGAGGAGCCAGCTTTGCTCTTCTTTTCTTTACTTGGGTACCTCACTCAGTTTTGACACCACACTGTGGCTCTCACCTGCCCTCTAGGTCCGGCTGCCAGATGGGACCTCACTCACCCAGACGTTCCGGGCAAGGGAACAGCTGGCAGCTGTTAGGCTCTATGTGGAGCTTCACCGTGGGGAGGAACCTGGAGGGGACCAAGACCCTGTGCAGTTGCTCAGTGGCTTCCCCCGGCGAGCCTTCTCAGAGGCTGACATGGAGCGGCCTCTGCAGGAGCTGGGTATGGCATATGGACCTGAAGTAGGACTTGGGTGTGATAGGGGACATGCCTGAGAAAGGAAGGGATGCAGAGAGAAGGGACTTTGTGGAGATGGTGTGAGGCCAGGAATTTTGGGGACAAAAAGTAGGTATGTGTGGTTTAAATCTGTTTTCTTCCATCTTCAGGACTTGTGCCTTCTGCTGTCCTCATTGTGGCCAAGAAATGTCCCAGCTGAGAGGCCTTTATCCCACCATCCTTGTCTGACCTCTTCATCTTTGATAAAGCACTGACATCTCTTTCCTAATAAATAGACTCGCTGAGTTCTCTATGTTCTGGACTTCTTCCTGAATGACTGGGAGAGACTAAACTGAGACAGAGGAAAACTCTAAGGGGAATGCTTTTAGAGTAGATCCTAGTCCTCAGCTTACATTTCCAACAAAGGGACTTGTTTCTAATCTCTGGGTCTGATTAGTTGCTGGGGAAGTTGAGAGGGGAGAGATTCAAGGGGTGAGGAATACAGTGCATAGCACCTTTGGCTCCTATGAGTAAGGTGGTGCATAAGCCTGAAATCCTTATTAGCTATGTGCCTTGATTTTTTATAGTGGTTTACTTATTTATTTATGTTTTTATTGATTTCAGACAGAGGAAGGGAGAGGGAGATAGAAATATTGATGAGAGGGAAGCATCATCAGTTGGCTGTTTCCTGCATTTCCCCTACTGGGCATCAACCTGGGCATGTGCCCTCACCGGGAATTGAACTGGCAATCTCCTGGTGCATGGAAAGACACTCAACCAACTGAGCCACACCAGTCAGGCTGTGCCTTGACTTTTTTTTTTTTTAAACCTCACCCC